CAAAAACCCTTGCATGGTCGTATTCACCTCTAATTGCTCTGATAAAGCTTGAAATAAAATCTGGAGGACAGCAAAGGCAGAAGGTTTAAAAACCAGGGGAGATCCCTCCACTCAGGGATTTTGGAGACTTCTGAGTGCCACCAGTGCAATTATATAGGAACTGCTCACATCCCTTTAGGTTTTCTCTTGGAGGGAAGGATTGATGCAGCTTGTTGGCAGACAAGCTGGAAACCTGCCTGCACCACTCAAAGCCTCCAGCAGCACAAACCAAGGGGCTGGGGCCAAACCAAGAACTGGTGTGACCAGCAGCAGCCTTTTCCCCCTTCTTGGCTCCCAAGCCCAGTCCTGCCTCAGCACACTGCTGGTCCTGACTCCAACAGCACAGAGACTGGACCAGCATCCATCAGCAGCTGCAGATGAAAGGCAAAGAGGACCGTGGAGCTGGAGCTGAGGTGGCTGTGGCAGACAGACAGGCAGACCTGCTTTCACAAGCTTCTGGTTCATATTAGAAAAGATGGGTGGCACTGAACAGAACGTAAAGCCACTGTAGGTTATTATAAAGCATCATCTGCTGCGTTCAGCAGAGCTGGAGAATTTCAACTGGTTGTTTTGTGTTGTTGAATGTCTTCCAGCAAAGCCATCCTCCTGGCTTTGAGGTTAGGGAAGGATGGAGTGTCCCCTGATTCCCTTGGCACTTTGCTCCATGGTGAATCATCCTCACTTCTAAGAGGACCTGCTGCCAACTGTCCTGTTTGCAGTGTCCCTCGGGAAAATGACTCTTTCCTTAATTTTCCTTTACTACTTTGCCTTTGCTCTTTTTCACTGAGTCACCCCGTAAAGATTTACCCCCTGAGGGCCTGCTATGTACTCAGTCATCTCCTGCTTCCCCCTCTGGCTGCACGTTTAATCAGTGAGGGTTTTTTTTTCTACTTGCTTCCATGTCTTTCCTAAAAACTCCTGAATAATAAAAGGCTGGAGTGGGTGTTTAACTAAAGAGTACCAAAAAAAAAAAAAAAAAAAAAAAGAGCCAGAAAGCAACAGAACCCCTGGGGAGCTTTTCCTTCCACCCTCCTTCCCATTTGCCCCAAGGTGATCAGATACTGGAAACGGAGCTGGAAATTCCCCAGCTAGCCAGGAGCAGTGCTGGCTAAACCCTGAGATGGTGCAACAGCCTCCCAGCTTAGAGACTGGCCACTGGCACTGGTATTCCCCTGGCTAAGGAGTTTTTGGGTCTCATTATTTCCACTAGACATTTCTGATGACAATCTGGACGTGAAAATGCCCCGAAAGCACCCACGGCTCGAGGCTTGCAGGCTTTGATGCAACATCACCCTGCTTCCATCTGGGGCTCAGCCGTGGGCGCGTTGACCACCCTTTGCCAAAGTCCACCCTGACGTCACAGCTCGGTGGCAAGGTCCCCATGTGCCTCCCTGACCTGGGCACGGTGACCTGGTTACACTGACCACCCCACTCTGCCCACGGATTCTGGAGCTGCCACGTCAGATCCCCCCCTTGGGGATCCAGCAGCTATCAGAGGGACAGGGACCAGCTGGAGCAGGAGGGGGGGGAAAAGGGGGCTCAGCACCCCAGTTCTGCCTGTAAAGCTTCCCACCAAGTCATTTCCAAGGGAATCAGCAGCGCAGTGTCCAAATAAGAAAGTGATGATCTCTGACCATGTTACATGGATTTAATTTACAAGATTTTAATTTACGGGTTTGCGCCGGCAGGTTGTGCCAGTGGGAGGTCACGTGTCCCTGGGGGGATACACAAGGTGCTGGAGGAGCACCCAAGATTCCAGGAGCACCGATTTTAGGACCGTGCATCTGTCCACAGGTTTTCAAAGCTCCATAAGGCATCTTTCCAAGAGCATGACAGGTGGGTTTGGGAAGAATGCTTCACAATGTTTTATAACTCCCTCTGACTTTACTCTTTTACAGATTCTCCCAGACAAAAGCAAGAACCAGGTTTGGTGGAAGAGAAACCAGATGAAAACAGGCACTTGGAACTCCTTGTGCCTCCTGGCCTCCCCTCCAGCTCTAAAAAAAACCCAGGAGTTTTCTCTCAGGGCAGAGAAAACTGACACAGTTGTCTGAGAAAGCTGCACGTCAAAGAATAGGATCCATTTCAAAATGACACATCAAAGTCTGCGTTAGGTATTAAATTTCCTACGTAACTGATGGAGTGCAATAAATACCATCAGAAGGAGATTAGGGGCACAGCGAGGCAGTGCCCAAGCTCAGGAGCACGTGGCATCCTCCAAAGACACCTCTCCCTTTCTGCTGCCTGTAGAAGGATCTGAGATGGCTGGTTTAGTCTAGAGGCCTGATGTGGGAACCTGGAGATAAATCCCATCCCAGCTGACTTTCCCTGCCCTTTGCTATCCTGTTGTGAGGATGAGATTGTAACAGAGATCACACAGCAGCAGCAAGACAGCCCCACGTGCAGATTTCTTGTGGGAGCTCCAGAGCTCAGCCCTTTCCCACCTTGTTTTGGGGCTAAGGATGCTCCATGGCACAGCCCCTCCCCAGGCTCTCCCCAGTCCCTCCAGCCTGGCCCTTTCAGTAACTTGAGCCTCCGGGCTGCAAATCCCAGTCTCGAACTGCAAGGATGGAAAAACATTTCCCCCCCTCTTCCCCCTTCTGGGTCTTTTTTTTTTTTTTTTTTTTTTTTTTTTTTTTTTTTTTTCTGCTTTTGAAAGCAGCTGTCTCTTCCCCTTTCTCTTGTGGTGGGAAGACATGGATCACCGAGGGACAGAGCAGCTTTCTGAGCATTCCCCTCCCCTATCAAGGCAAACTGGCAGTTTCCCCACCCCACATCGCTTCTGGCAGCTCTTTTTTCCAGCTTTCCTCCCCTCCCTTTGCCGGCCTTTGGCAAAGCTCAGCTGATTTCCAAACCCTCCGTGGCTGCTGGGGGTTGGTACAAAGGTTTAATTATTGGCTTTTCCTTGGGTGTGTAAGGCGGGGATAGGGAGACGGTCGGGCCCCATCGCCTGACACTGCTGATCTTGCCCACTTTTGTTGTATAGTCCCTCTCCCACCCCCCTTCCTTCCCTGGCTATCCCGCCCAGCTCCCAGAGCCTGCCATGAATCCTGGGGCAGTTTTGGGATGCTTTTGCCTGCTTTGTTTTTCCTTCACGAGCACAGCAAAAGGTAAGAGACTTTGGGGTGATTGGGGTCCAGGGGCAGGACGGGGTGTGGATGCCCACGGGGACGAGATGCTCATCCCAGGGCACAAAGAGCCTCCCTGGCTCCACATATTCCAACATCTCCCCAGTCTCCAGCTGGGCAGGGAAGAGTGATTGCCAAACTGCATCTCCTGAGGCAGGGGAATTTTGGGGAGCCTGGAAGTCCTCCCTGGGGGATGAGGAAAACCAGAGAACTGTTTAAACTGCACACAGTGCGGAACTATAAAAACTCTTCAGTCTGTCTCACTGAGGAAAGCCCCAGGGAACGAGCTGGATTTCCATTGATTCCTGTCTTTTGTTGTTATAACAAAAGCAAACATTTCAGAAGCCCGGCAAGTGCATCAGATTTGCAGGAGAATTTCAAGTGACTTCAGAAAATAGATTTAACTGGCTTTGTCCTGGCAGAGGCAACACCCCCCCCTTCACACACACTACAATCCTATTTGTATATGAACAAGAGAAGGGACTCCAAATAATTCTAGATAAATAAATTTAAAGCAGGGAGCTTGGATCTAAAGCTGCCCCATCAACTTCATTTTGCCTTATCGTTAAGTCAGTGATTGAATTAAGTTCTCAAGGGTAACACACAGTATGAAGAATATGGCCTCTCTCCTCCCCTAAAAATGTTGTTTGTGCCCCAGTTAATGCTGAGCAGGGACTGTGGGATATCCCTCTTGTCTGTGGGCACGCTCAGGAACCTTGACTTCAGCACTGAAGTGTGTTTCTCTGGCATCCTCTGAAAGTGCCCAAGCAGAGCTCCCGCTCTGGCCATCACTTCTGAGGCAGGACTGGAATCCTGAGGTGTCACCCAAATATCCAAACCCAGGCACAAATCATTTCCCGTGGAAACCTTCCCCCGGGCTACACTTCCACATCAGCACAGGAGTGGCCCTTCTAGGGGCAGAGTGATGCAGGTCTCAAGCACCCCTGCAGCTCTGGGGCCCCCCTAGGATGGAGGTTGGCGGGTGCAGCAAGGGGAGGGATTGAGTTTCGTGACGGCTTCCCTTCAGCGTTTGCGTCTTTCCACAGGGGATTTGCAGCTGTTTTCCTTCCAGCCCGGGGCACTGTATCAGTACCACTACACCCTGGATGTCCAGCTCCATCACACGGCCCCACCAGCCCCTGGGGGAGCCTGGCTGCGGGCTCAGGCGTCAGTCCACGTGCACCGGCTCTGGAGGGACCAGGGTGGGGAAGAGCTGCTCCAGGTGCAGGTGTGTGGGCTGGGAAAACCATCACAGCACCCTTTCTAGCCCAAGTCATCTGAGAAACAGCCTCTCTGACCAAAATCCATTGCCTGCAGGTAAAAATACCCACCAGCCTTAGTGTGGCACGCTTGGTCACTGCTCTCTGCCGTCTTCTGCTGTCGTAGATCCGTGACCTGAAAGCCCAGCACGAGGAGAGGAGCCAGGATGGCCCTGGAGGTCCCCCTGCAGAGATTGAACTGAGCCAGGAGGCAAAGGCAGAGCTCCAGAAGCCGGTGTTCATCTCCTGGAACAGCGGGAAGGTCAGCTGGACACCTCCTGGGCTTGTCCGTGCCCTCTGCAAAGCGCTCCTGCGCTCACCCCAAATTTTCCCAGCTATGAAGCCCATAGGAACTCTTGCTGTCTGGTCTCCCACGTGTCCCTAGATGGAGCCCCATCCTCCAAAGGGGCTGCAGCATCCCATGTTAAAAGCTCTTCAGTCCTTACCATGGGATGCACTTTCCTTTCTGACCCTCTCCTCTAAGGCTCTGGAAAACCAGGGTGGGGAGGAAAGGGGAAGGAACATGCATCCACAAAGCTCCTGTTATTGGGGGATACAATCCTCCATGAGAAAACTCTTCAGGTGTTTACAGGGTGTTGCTCAGGTTGCAGGGGAGAGACCTTTTGGCAGCAGAGAGCCTGCGTGGACCCCTCAGAGATGCCCCCTCAGCAAGGTGCCACCTCTTTTCCCCCCCCTAGGTCAAAGCTTTCTATGGGAATGAAGCAGAAAGCATCCTGGTCTCCAACCTGAAGCGAGGCATCATCAGTCTGCTCCAGCTCCAGCCCCACGCCGGCACCACAGTGGAGGTACGTGCAGAGCTGGGGTCCAGATCCTGCCCAAAAGCCAGGGACCATGATGGACCAGGAGAGCTGGCCCTGGAGCACAGGCAGCCCAGGTTGCTTCAGCAGAGGAGGCAAAATTCAGGATAAAACAGCACTGGCTTTGCTGCTCCAGCTGGGCACTGAGCAAGGATGACTATTGGAAAGGCAGACGGCTTAAAATAACCTCCAGATGATTTTCAGGAATGGGCACACTTAAGAAATAATGTTTTTTCCCTGGACAGTAGGAAAAGTGGAGAAAAATACCTCTGCAAGCATTCCTGCCAAGCAGGATTTGCTTTGCCAGCAGCCAGCAAATGGCAGGGAAATCCCTCCCTCCAGAGCTCAACCGAGGCTGGAGTGACCTGTGAACCATGTGGAGTAACCTCAGAACCCAAAATGCAGGCACAAAGATGCTGCTGGTGTCAGCCTGAAATGCAAAGATGCCCAGATGGAATTGGAGCTAACACCTCCCAAAATCCAGCCCACTTTTCCAGCTTTCTGGTGATTTTTCTATTTGTTAGGTTGTCCTTTGTGCCTGTTCTCTCCACAGATTGTTTTTCTGAGGGTGATCAAAGCCAGTCATCCTTACCCACCCTGCTCACTCACATCTGTGTTTCAGGAGGACGCCTCTGGGAGCTGCCAAGTCACCTATGCCGTGTCCAACCACTCCATCACCAAGACCAAAGATCTCCTCAGCTGCACAAAGCCGAGCTCTGGATTCACCTCTGTAAACAAAGCAAGTCCTTTGCTCTCCCTGTGGTGGGCCCAGTTGATGTTTTCTGGACTTCAGACTCCTTGGATTGGGGATTAGGTTGACAGGACCAAAGGCCTGTGTTTGTTTTGTTTAAAGCAGTAGCCCATGTTCAGCCCTGACATAAACAGATTAAATTCTGTGGCTCTTCATGCAGTTATAGCCGCCACGATCAAAACTGAAGGGTTTTTTTAAAATATATAAATTCCACTGAATTCAATAGAAGAACGGACAACACCACAGAGAGCCCGGGGGCCTTGGCAGGGGTCTCAACACCGGCCAGTCACAGGGTGATATCATCATCACTAATGCCATTTGCTGCCTAAAACCACCACTTGCACCTAGTCCAGCCCTTCCCCTTCCCCAAGCCCTGCCACGAGCAGGCCCAGCTGCTCCGAGCATCTCCCGGCGCTCCCGAGGCAGAGGTGATGTCCAGAAGTGCGTCATTCCTTTCGGGAGGAGGAAATCCAGGGAGCTTCCCAAGGGTCACCACGCAGCAGGGAGAGGAAGTTGAGCATTTTTTTTGGCATTGCCTCGGTGGAAATTGCTGTTGCTTTCCCTTTTGCTTGGGGAGCGTCCTTGGTGATGCTCCCCGGGAATGGGCACTGAGGGCCACTCCTCTTCCCACACCGTGCAGCTGTGTGGGAGCCGACGCTGTTGAATGGGCCTGGAGGAAGAGCAATGCTTTGGGAGGCATTTACTCCCAGTTTGCAGTCTCCAGGCATCACCCACACCAGGCAGGAGCATCCCCTGCTCCCTCTGCTGTGGCTGAGCCCAGGTAACACCACCCTGTAATGAAAGTCCACGTGGTGTCACCAGTCTGTCTCCCCACATCAGCCACAGGCAAGGGCATCCCCCTTGCCGTGGTCCTCCCCTGGTGCTGCCTTCTCCCACACCTGGGAAGAAGCTGGGCTCTTCTGGATTTCCCTTCCCTACATTCTGCAAGCCAAGCAGGTGACTCTGTGGGCCGGAAGGTTCTTTTTCTGCTGATAGAGAGAAAAGGTTGCATTTTTTCCTCCTTTCTTCTCCTTCTCCAAGGTTTTTGGAGTCGAGTGGCAGCCCAGCAGCAGAAGCCAGTATGTGGTGAAAGACAACCTCCTGCAGTCAGCCCTGGCAGAGGAAAGCCATGTGCTGGCTCCAGCCCTGAGGTCCAGCTCTGGCATCAAGATCAGTTCAAGGTGAGTGATGCCCCCAGCCAGGAGCCACAGAGGGTGTAAATCACAAAGCACTTCCCAATGGCTTCTTCTCCCTCCACAGGCAGCAGCTCCAGCTACTGTCTCCTCCAACGCCTGGTCCAGCAGAGGAGTCTGGGCAAAGCCTTGAGGATGTGCTGGCTGGCACAGAGGGACGGCACCAGCCCCTAGGCATGGCCAGCCTGCCCTTCAGGAGGGTCTGCACCAACTGCCCGTCGGTCAGTGATGCTACTGACCCCCAAAACCTACCCCATGCTTTCCCCACAACCTGGACACTTGTAGGATTTTGGGGTTAAACCACAGTGGTACTTTTGGAGGGGCAGGAGCACACACAGCAGGGTTGAACTCATTACAGCTCTGAGGCCAGCAAATATTCCCGCCACAGGTCAGGCCAAAGAGGACAAACCAGGGATTATTTCTGCCTCCCCAGATCCTGCAGGTTTCTCACTTATGAAATCTGGAATTGCAACAAAACAATGCTCTCAGTTGCTCCTGCTCTTTTCCTGGAACTCACCACAAATTGGCCTTCAGCACAAGTCCTCAGCAGTGGGGCTGTGAGGCTGCAGTCGATGCCTGCAGGCAGTTGCATGGGCCCTTCCCATTCCTAAATATTTCCCTAGTGTAAAAAATATCCCACGATAACAGGGGGGGAAAAGGAGGCTAAACCCCACCTAACAAGCCTCACCTTTGCAGCTGAGAGCCCACCTGAAGGCTTTGGACAGACGGGGAGTCAGAACAGAGCCCTCAAAGGTGGCGACAGCCCGGCAGTTCCAGAGGTTCATCCGGATGCTGCGCAGTGCCAAGAAGAGAGATGTGCTGGAGCTGCTGAGGAGAGCACCTGAGGAGACACGGTGAGACAGCCAGGAGCTTTCTTGCCGAGATTCTCAGCGTGCAGAACCCTGGCACGAAGAGTCATTCCTGGCTGAGACAACTGGAGTCATTCGATGCTGCTCCATTCCCCCATCCCTGCTCCAGGCAGCCACAGAGTGCCAACGTCCTCTGCTTTTCCTTGATGCTCTGCATGGGTTTTGAGGGTCATTCCACTGATGACCTCCCTCTTCTTGCTCCAGCCCCTTCATGGTGGAGGCAGCGGTGGCTGCACAGTCAGTGGCTTCCTTGGCAGCTCTCTCAGAATTCCTGGATTTCAGCAAGGAGGAGTCCAAGCCCCTCCTGGAGAAGTTCCTCTATGCAGCAGCTTTCTCACCCCGGCCTTCGGGAGAGCTCCTCCACCTGGTCTTAGTAAGTATGGACATCTCTTTTCCTCCCTGAGGGTCCTGCACCCGGGATGGATGATGGATGCCTGCACCCATTTCAGGCAGGATGGAAGACCAAGCATGTTTTCCTGAAAAAGGAAAATATGTTTTCTGTAGAAATAAATCTTCCTGCTTAGGGGGTTCTTTTATGTGCGTTTAATGGGACACTGGTGATGGGAGCTGATGCTTCCTAGCAGTACAGTGCACATAATAAAAGCTTAATTAAAGCTGCTGTGAAAAACCAGTGGTTTATCCAATCAAACCGTGCATGGCCTCCTTTATGATAGGTAAGAGCAAGTTTTTCCTTACTTTTGTGATGAACACTCTGAGATAAGAGGTCAAACACATTGCTCCTCTCTCCTCCCCTCCCCCCCCCCTTTTTTTTTTCCTGCGTAATAACGCCCCTTTTCCTGATGCCCAGGACAAGCTGGCTGGGAAGCAACTGGCCCCTGAGACCTGGGAGATGGGGATGGTCGCCGTGGGCTCTCTGGTGGGCAAGCTGTGCCAGCAGAAGCTGTGTGGGCTGCAGGTGGGTCCTCTGCAAACCCTCGCGGGTTGGCTTTTCCAGACACCCCCCCAACTCCAGGCGTGCCCAGAAGGTCTCCTTCCCCTCACCTCACTCCCCTCCTCTTCTGCCCTCCCGAGCAGGAGGTGGAGCGTGGGGTGGAAACCATCCTCAGGGGGCTGAGCGGTGCCGAGGAGGAGCCTGAGGTGGTCATTTACCTGCTGGCCCTGGGGAATGCGATGCTCCCTGGAACCATCCCCATCCTCCTGGAGCACGCTGAGGAAGGTCCTGCTGCTGTCACCACCACGGCCATCTCCGCCCTGCGGCGATTCCCCGCTCGGCACATCTCCAGCAAGGTAAGGAAGTGCAGCTGGCGAGGCTCGGTGTCCTCTTCACACCCAAAACCCGAGCTGTCGGGGTGCTTTTGCACATCACAGCACCCTTTTCACTTCCCTCCTGCACCAGGTGAAACGAGCAATGAGGAGGATCTTCCACGAGAAGAGGAAGAGCTACGAGAAAACCTGTCGCCTGGCCGCCGCGGAGATACTCCTGGATAACCACCCCTCACCCATGGATGTCATCAACATCCTGCTGGCCACCCAGGAGATGGAGACAGAGACGGCAAAATTCCTGCTGCTGAAGGTCCAGAACAGCCTGCACTCCCACCACCACCCGGCAAGGTGGGTCTGGAGGGGAAGGTTCTGTTCCCTAATGACCACTGACATTTTCCCTTCCTCCCCTCCCAGAGCTGACTCACCCTTTCCCTCTTGCTTCCAGGGAGATGATGAAAGACATCATGGGAGACCCGCAGATAAACAACTACAACTTCTTCTCGAAAGTTGGCGCCTCCTCTTCTTTCTCAGGACCCCTGACAGGTGACAGCCCAGAGGACATTGGTCCTAAGAGGGCTAAAGGAGGGGCTGGCAGGGAAAGGCAGCTCCCAGGAAAGGCTTGACCACTATAGAATGCCCCAAAATCTCTGTGTGAGGTTTCTGAGCACGTCCACCAGCACCAGCTGGTTGCCATCACCTGAGATACAAACATACATACCCTTCTCTAACACCCCTACAGCAGGAGGGCTGGGCTGTGCCACATACTTTCCCCAAATCCTGCTAATTTGAAAGAGGAACTTCAGCTGGACCTGAAACCAATGGTAAATAGTAGGTGGGAGTCAAGGTATTTCACTCCATTCCTCAGTTCCTCTGGTATTTCTAATAAGCTCTTCAAAAAGGAGAAACCTGATACTGAGATTAAGACACAGCAACAACAAAATAATCAAACTCCAGAGAGATTGCAACAAGCAACACTTGCTAAATATCTGCTTAATTCTTCATGCCCCAGCTCTCATTTCTGTCCCTCTTCAAATTAGCTCAGTCTAGCTTTGTGGGGGTTAGTGAGGGTGGAATAGCCAACACTGGGGAAATAAAAAACAACCTTGCAATGCTAAATCCTTCAAATATTGCAAGAACGGGAGGAGAAGGTGCACAGCTTTCCCCTCTGGATCACGAAGTTTCATCAGATATTGAATGGCCAACACAGGAGATCCATTCCTACACTACCAGCCATACCCTCTGTTGAGGAAGCTTACAAATGACCAAGGAGCCACCAGCACCCTGCTTTTAGTGACCTCCCAGTTCCTGTAATCATTCTGGAGGAGCTTTTCCAGGAAGCCACCCTGTCCTGCTGAGCACTGACGTGGTGACAGCGGGCACAGGGGATGCACTCACCAGGATCCCAGCCTTGCACATCCCACCTACAGCCTCTGTGTTTCCATGCCAGCCTGCACCCCTGCTGCTGCTCCCAGAGCATTTGTGGTTCACCACCATTCATGAGCAAAGAGAGATCGTAGAATGGTGGAATGGTTTGGGTTAGAAGGGACCTTAAAGCTCATCTAGTTCCGACCCCTCTGTCGTGGGCAGGGACACCTTCCACCAGAGCAGGTGTGCCAGGTGCTGCCCAGGGATCCTTATGGGCACCTCTCTGCCTTTCAGTCACCCAGGACCTGCTTTCCACCTTCGGGCTGGACCTGCTGTTTTTGGAGGGAGGATTCCTGAGGAAGAGCGTCTCTGAGTTCTCCCTGCTCAGCCGCGGCCGGCGGCTCCGCGCAGCTCAGGTGCGCGGCTGGGAGAGGGGCTGGGGGGTGGTGACAGCACCAACCCCGCAGTGCCACTGCCCTGTCTGTGCGTCCCCTGCTAACCTTCTTAGGGTGCCCAACCTCCCCTCTGCACTCAGAGTGCAGAGATCCTCAGAAACAGGTAAATTCATACCCAGATCACCAGTGTGAAGCCAGGCATGCCTGCTCTGAAAAAAGTAGTCCCTCCACTCCCCCAAAAAACAGAGGATGTGACACTGATACCTCAGGGTGCTCAGGTTGGATGCCTCATCCAGCCCACTCCACGGCTGATCTCCCAATCCTAAAGGTGCCCACCCAAGGGTTGGACAAGCATAGCAACTCAAACAGTGCTGTGGGACACAAAGCACCCTCCAGCTTCGCTCTGCGCCGCTCGCACGTGTCCACCTCCGTGTTCTAGGTCACCTTTGAAGCACAGGGGATGGAGTCGATGATGGGAGAGAACGTCTCGGATGGGGAAGAGGAGCCGGAGCTCATGGCCGGGATGTCTGTCGCCTTCTTCGACGTTCAGCTGCGGCCGCTCGTCTTCTTCCAGGGATACGCAGACCTCATGGCCAAGGCCCTCCTGAGCAGTGGAGAGCCCACAAGCGTGGTCAGAGGGAACCTCCTGCTGATGGACCATCACCAGGTACTGGCTGGGGGGGAAACAGTGACCTGTCTCCATGACAAATCCTAGTGAATCCCACAAAGTGAGCCGGTGGTTGTTACTCGCCGCAGATACAGGTCTAAGGGCAAGGTGGCCCTGCTGGATCTGTCTGGGCGTTGGTAAACAGCAGGATGGGTGGATGGATGGCTTTGCCATGGGCCATAAGTGGCATGGCTGGAGTTCCTCCCTTGCAAACCCTGCTGCAGGCCGGGGATAAATTGTTCCAGCAGCCACAAGTCACTGCCGGTATCAGCCACTCACGCCAGGGCAGTGCCCAGTCACAGCGAGCTCTGCCTTCTCCCTCTCCCAGGTCATTCCTCTGCAGTCTGGCCTCCAAGTGACCATCAAACTCCAGGGTGGGCTGGGGCTTGACATTTCAGCTGACGTGGACGTGGGCATTTGGGAGCAGGAACTCAAAACCGGCATCAACGCGAGGTGAGCGGGTGGGGAACCGCTTGGCTGTGGGGATGGGTGTGCCCAGGGTCTCAGCACCCAGCACCAGGGTGGCTTTCCACAGCCCCCAGCTCTTCTCCTGGCGGGCCCTGGTTGCCCTTTTCCATGGCCAGACCTCAGATTAAGGTGTTGATGGAGTTGTTGGGCCATTCTTCGGTGACCAGGCCCGTGTGCTTCTCTCTCACAGGGGAAGCCTCTCCATGGATTTCCAGGCAGAACTAGATTCCCCTTTCCTCCAGGCCACCCTGAGGAGCCAGGCAGAGGTGGAGACCTCCATCCACTTTGACACCACGCTGAGGTTTTCCAGCAGCCCCGTGCTCATGTGCCTGCAGCTGAGAGAGGAGCAGGCCCCATACAGGTGAGTCCCTGGGTACAGTCAGATTCTGGAGAAACATCATGAGGTGCTTGAGATAAAGGAGAATTTCTTGGGAGGAGCTGGGAATCACTGGCCATGCACTTACCAAGCAGGGTGGGTAGAAACTGGTAGGAATGGGGGAAGGACAATGCAAGTCCACGACAACAGGGGTGGAAGCACCATCCCTAGACCAGACGGTGAGTGTGGATGAGGTCCACCAGCACCGCAGCCTCCTGACCATCTTGCTGTCACCTCACCCCACAGAGAAATCTTCACAGTTTCCAAATCCGCCGGCAGCCGGAGCAGCACCGCTCGGAAAGGCAGGCGCGGCACCGTGCCCGGGAGGGAACTTGCCTTGCACCAAACCAACTCCGAGGTCTGCAACCTCCTGCTGACACCAGAAAAGGAATAGGTGAGTCAGAGCACTCCAGGACTGCAGAAGTGCCCTGTCTCTGCCACACAACCCCTTCACAAGGACCTTCGAATCAGAAAAGTGCTGCAATAAGGACGTCAAAAGAGGCCGCAAAAGGAAGTGCTGCAGGACAGCCAGAGGCACCCCTTGCTCGGGGCTGGAGGAGCCAAACCTGCCCTCACGCCCCAAAGGCTGAGATTTCCCCCACCTGGACTCTTCCCCTTCAAGGGGAAGGCCTTGCTGGCTGATCCTTGTGAAAAACAGGACCGTGATTCCTCAGAGCCCGAGAAACCCTCCCACAAGCCCACACCCCAAAATGCCCCCTTTTGTCCCCATTTATCAAAGCAGCCAGGAGGGAGCACATCTGCAGCCAGCTGGGAGGAACACACAGCTTTTGTGGCTGCCAAATCATCCAGGAACACGTCAAAAAAAACATCTCAGGAGGAAGAGTGATGGTATCTAACTTTTTTTTAACGTACCCTCAGAGACACCTCAGAATAATCCTCAGGGGGAGAGGCAGAGAAGCAAGACAAAATGTTGTGTGCTCTTTCTGGCTTACATGAAAGTGTTTGCATTTATTTGCATGCAAAGGCAACCCAGCTCCCCCCCTCACAGCTTGGTGCCATCATCTTCATCCTGGGGGGAACTTTGCTCTCTGTTGCCAGGGATGTGGTTGGTGGCTTCCTGCTCTTAGTGTCTGCACCTGAATTTTTCCACGTTTTTGGTTTTTTTTTTTAACTTCTAGGATAGGCAGGGCTGCAAGAGCCATCTGAGGTTGTTAAAAACACCTTGTAATTAATACCCACAAGGGCACAAGCATTTTAGTGTTTGCAAAGAGCAGATTGAAAAGGTGTTTTGAGATTATCAAAGACTCCCAGGATGAGGTGAAAACACTGAAAGTGGAGAAATTACAGCTCTTAACAGGTGGCCCACAGAGCTGGATCTGAAGTCAGCCACACTCAGCTGGGCAACCAGATGCTTTCAAAGCTTCCAAGGTGTTTTAAAAGTTCTCCAACCTTTGGGTATTATTATTTTTTTTAATGAGTGCAGGTGGTACAGCCCATCCCACGGGGCTAATGCAGATGTGGCTGCCACAGAGGGCAAAAGATTCTATTTGGCTGACACAGTCCCTCCTGGATTGTGAGAATCTATCACAGAAGAGCTTGGACAAACATTACAAAGCTGTTCCTTCAAGCGAACATCCTTCAGGGTGGACATAATTCAGCCAAAACTGCGAAAGTTAAATAGTGGGATCACACCTCCATCCTCTTCCTCCTCTTTATCAAGGCCAGCACGGACTAGATGTGCCTTCTGCTGGTGCCTGCAGACCCAAAACCCATCAATCCAGAGGTGAATTCTGCCTGCAGCCTCTCATCTTCATTTTTGATCCAAAGCTTACATATTAATGGAGAAGCCTCTGGCCTCTCTTATCTCCTGAACAGCAGTTCCCCTTCTCTTTTAATCGAGGCAGCAGATGGAGATAAGATTTCCTGCACCCTGCATGGGGGAAGGCAGCGTTCCAGCCACAAAGAGATAGAGCAGCTTCCCTTTTCTGCTGATATTTGGGCTCTTTTAGGTGACCATTTATGAAAATCACAATTACCTTGGAGTAAATATTGTTCTCCTGCTCTGCATTCTGCTCTCAAGCTGGATTGTTATCAGCCACCACCACCACCACCCAACACATCTCCAGCGCTGGAGGGAGGCTCAGAAAGAAAAAGCAGCATTTCTTCATTCCTCCCTGATAAAAGTTTGCATTTGAAATATTTTTTAGCCCTTTTTTTGTGTGCTATAAAACATGCTTTTTATGGGGAAAAAAAAAGAGGGACATCGAGTATATAGTTTAAATTGTGAGCCTGACAGTGCAACACTGAGTCTCCTGGTTTAGGGGGAGGAAAATGGTTTGGTTTTCCATCTGGGGACACTAATTACCAGTGCTTTGGTTATGTACAGAAATAAATGCCATGTGCTTTTACATTTCTCTCTTCGACTCTTATAACTTCTCTGGACACACGGATGGGAAGAAGGGAGAAGCACTTCCAGCAGGAACAGCATGGCCAAAGCTCTCCGGGGACTTTCTAGGTCTGCATTTAGGGGTGCTCCAGGGACATGTGGCAAAATGCCCCATCAGGGCTCCAAAACTGGGGTGTGAGGGCTCCCTCTGCTCCTAGAACCGCCCCCCCCCACCCTGAGCACCCTTAGGGCTGACAAGAGGGGGTTCCCACGAGGGGCTGCCTCAGACAAAGCCAAGAAGCACCATCCTGCCATTTGGGACCTTTTTTCCATTGCTCTCTTTCCCCTTTCTCCTTCTCTAAATGAGATGCAGAGAGGCAAATTTGTCATTCAGCTGAGATTCACCCTAAATTTTTGAACTTCTAGTCTTGTCCTGCCAGAGGGGGCCAGGTCCTATAGCTGGGACTGGAGCTGGGAACGGTGAGGACATTTCAAGAGAGATTTTACCACCTTGCATTGCTGCTGGAACTTCCCCTGGCTGTTTCCTCCCATCCTGTCACTGGCTCCCCAGGAGCAGAGCCCGATTCCCCCCCCCGACTCCACCCCCTTGTCAGGAAGTTGTAGGGGGTAAGAAAATCCCCCCCCCCCCGAGCCTCCTTTTCTCCAGGATAAACATCCCCATCTCCCTCAGCCTCCCCAAACGATCCTTCCGTCCCATGAAAGGGATGTACAGGGAGGGGTGGGGTGCCAGAATTGATTCCTGCTGGAGATCCCCCAGGAAAATCACTACCCAGCTGCCAGGGACCTTGCAAGGGGGCAGGGGCAGAGCATCCCAGAGCCAGGAGCTGGGGCGGGGCTCCTGCCGCCTCTCCAGGAGTGGCTTTGCACGGCATTGCTGCAGATCAGCAGTGACCTCCAGTGGCTGCTGCCGAATCCAATGGATACGCCAGGATTCCCCTCCGATCCCACCGGGGTGTCCCACAGCCGGCACACAGGGTCGTGGGGCCTTTGTGATGGATCAGGGCTGATCCCTGGCAGCCCTTCACTGCCCTGAGCTGCGTTCTGGGTGGCAATGCCATCCTCTCCCGGCCTCCAGCCTTTGCCATCACGGGCGATTTCCCGTGTTCTCTTTTCCCCCCGCAAGCCACGCCACTCCCGGGACGTCTGGTACAGCCCTCGGGAGAGCGCACGGACACCGCTCGCCAAACGGGGCCATAGAACATTATCTGCCCGTCTATCCCAGCTGGCTCCAGGGACAAAACTATCACGAGAAAGCGAGCACAAAAGCGTGTGAGAGGCTAAACCGCGGGCAGGCACCGGCTCTCCCTGGGTCAGAACTCTGATCAAGCCACTGCTCTCTCCTTCCTCGACAGCTTGGTAATTAAAAGATTGTTGTTTCCTCACTGCTGGGCCCCAGTGACTTCCCAGACTCCAGGGAAAAAAAAAAATCAAAAGAAAAAGCGGTTTGGAACTCACCAAAGCAGAGGGGGGGGGGTAAATCTCAGCACCGAACTGTGGCAACCTCACCTAAACCTCACGTAGAGCTGCAGCTGCACATCCCGAGCCCCTGCTGGAGAGCTTGCAGCAGCCCTGGGCCGTGCACATCAACCTGCAAGGCTTTCCTGAAAGCACAGGGACACTTGTCCTGGAGCCACAGCACCCTGGAGTCACTCTGAAGCAGACTGCGGGTAAGCAGTGGAGCGTCCAAGGAGCACCGATGGGCAGGGTTGCTGTTATAACCCGCCCAGCCGTCAGGGATGGAGGGGAAAAAAAAGCTGTGAAGCTGCAATGGGACACAGCTGGGCAAACCACAGCGGCTGTGCCATGAGGTTATCCCTGCAGGAAAAGCTGAGGGGAAGAAAGCTCAGGGCCAGGGCCGGTGAGTCAGGCAGGGAGCCTGGGAACTGGCTGAGCCGAGCTAATCAGTCTCCAGGACTGGGATAAAGCCCTCTGGCACACCAGGGCCAAAACCCATGGGAATAAAAAAAAAAAAAAAAAGCTGATCTTCTCCTAGAAAATTGTTCTACCCACTCCATCTTGGCCAGGAGTGCGAGTATTTTCCCTTCTATAGGAAAACAGATATTAGCACTGTTTGAAGAGACAGCCAGAGTCCCAATTCCGTGTGGGACAAGGGTACAAAGGGCGACACGGGGACAAACACCTGCTCTGGCCCATCTCATAGAATCAAAGAATCACAGAATGGTTTGGTTTGAAAGGGACATTTTATGCTCACCTCGTTCCACCCCCCTGCCATGGTCAGGACACCTTCCACCACAACTAGGTTTGTTTCAAGCCCTGTCCAACCTGGCCCAGCAAGAAACCCACTGAGCACAGCCACGCCAGTTGCAATCCTCGGAGTCCTTCCTATCCCTTCTAAAGCCAAAAAGTCTTGTTTGCCCGAATATTTTGGCTGTTGCAGCCTCATAATCAAGCAGGGGTTTCAAAGCACTTGAAAACGGGGAGTTTAATAATTATGTACTTTTGCTCCTAACGCTGACACGTGGTTAATGAGGATGTGGTGTGTCGTCACTGTAGCCAGTCAGAAAAGCTACATACAACTCAAATTATTTCCCACTGGATAACTTTCGTGATAGGCAATTTGCAATCAGTTATAAAAACAAGTGTTTTTGTTAAACAGGTACTGCAAAGATCCAGAGGAATCCAGTGTGGTTGTATTTTAAGGAGTGACGTGGTAGGGTTGGGGCTCAACTTTTCAAGAGGGACCATTAAAAACACAAGGGAAAGGACAGAGTAAGTTCCTGCCCAAAGATGCAGCGATCCCACCGTCACTGTGAGCACCAGAGGTCTGCAGGAGACATTTAAAAGGGAGTAAAGCGGGAAAGAGCCCGTGTTGTGGGGAACAAAGTGTCCTCTAACTGCTGGGCTGGTCTCCAGCTCTCTGCTGGCTTAAAAGCATTCCCTGTGCTGATGGCAAGCTGGGTTAGTGGGAGAGCCTGAGGTTGTGGGAAGGTAAATAGCACTTGCTCACTGTAGAGGCAGCCAAAGCTTTTAGCAGAGGTCACAGGCACTTATCCATGTTTTGCTGC